TTATCCTTGGCTTCTTAGTGATCTGGGAGCCAGCCTGGGCTACATGAGACTCGGACTCCGAAGAAGAAAAAGAGGTGACCCTGGGTTGAACAAAGATTTCTTAGACATGTGAAAGCCATACTTCCACAGCCCTCCGCCATAGCTGCCCTGCGCATCCCTCTCCTTACATCTTCCTAGTCGTTGCTTTTTGTTATGATCAACACCATCATCAAAACAACACATCTTTAAGGTTACAGCTCATCATCACAGGAAGCCAAGGAGGAGCTTGAGGTAGAAACCACAGAGGATGGATACACACCCCCCTTACTAGCTTTCTCCCAGGCTCACATCCAGCTAGTTTTACACACCATACACGCATCATACACTGAACTAGCTTTCTCCAGGCCCATCAGTGTAGAGATATGACTGCCCGCAGTGGGGTGGATCCGCCTACTTCAATTAACAACCAAGAAAATGCCCAGGAGACACACACACACACAGGCCGGTCTGCCAGAAGCTGTATTTCAGTTTAGTGCCTTCTTCCCAGGTATGGCAGACTGACATTCACCAACACAGCTGCTACCTTGGCAATATCCTTTACTAAGCAGTAAACAGACGTCCCAGAAAGTGGGCTGAGTTGGGGAGATAAAGCAGATTTGGGGACTGGGCTCTCAACCTGTGAGAGTTAATGCGGTCTCCAGGCAGGCAGTGGCAGAACCCAACGAGGGAACATCAGGTCTCTGCTACAGAGCTGTTTGCCCCACACACCTGGCCTCAGAAGTGGTTTGTGTCTCAGTGTGTGGCAGCCCTCACTGATCACCCAGACACTGGAGGCTGAGAGGTCTCACACGTTGCATGTTCAAAGTCACCCTGGTTTACATGGCCAGTACCCCGTCATAAAAAAAAATAAACCATACACATGAAAACCACAAAGAAGGCAAGTGAGAATGCTGAAAGATGATCTACACCGGGCAGTGGTGGCTCATGCCTTTAATCCCTGCACTCAGGAGGCAGAGACAGGTGGATCTCTGTGGGTTTGAGGCCAATCTGGTCCACATGGAGAGTTCCAGGACAGGCTCCAAAGCTACAGAGGAACCCTGTCTCGAAAAAACAAAAAGCCAGAATGATTGATTAAAAAAAAAGGATGGTTTACATTATGTGGTTTCAAATATGGACAAAACTACTAAACACCCTTTAGAATGGCAAAAATCCAACATACATGAGAAACACTGCAAAGGATCTAGCAACCAGACTGCATTTCAGGGGGTTGGGGAGGATCCTGGAAGGTGGGGTACAGTAAGAGGCATTCAGTTTTGAAGACAGTTTGACAGTTTCTTACAAAGCTACCCATTATACTGAGGTCGTGGCTTGGCTCGAACACCCAGGCTTGCTATGAATGCTATTTTAAGTTGAAGACAATTAATTCAACAGCTGACAAGAGCGGCTTTTGGGGATTTTCTTTATCTAAACGTGGGGAGCACTGAGGCTGAGGTCACCCAAGTGCCTCAGGTTGCCTGTATCCAACCCAACTTGTACATCAAGCAGCGCACAAGACTGCCAAGTCCGCTGATTCACGGGAGGCGGTGCTTTCCTGCCTGTCTGCAAAGCTGCAGCATTAACATTTGTCTTCTGTTGATCTTTTCGGGTTAATTCACAGATCTTGGTCACCAACTAACAGGAAAAGTCGCACACAAAATCCTTCTGGCTTCCATGCTCAACCATCTACTTATTCAACTACTCCAGCTCAAAAACGGAGGTGGGGGTAAAGGGGGGTTCGTGTGTGATCTTCCTGGAAACGTGTCGAGGGTGTGGAGACCTACACCAGACCTCTTTAAAAGCAGGGTGTTCACTGGTGATGATGGATGCTTCTGCAGAGCAGGCACACTAGCCCCCTCTTCCCAGCAGTTGATCTTGTGTTGGGTAGCCATCTGCCCACCCGTGCTTCAAGTCAAACATGGTCAAGCCCAGAAGTTTCTGTCTCAATGACACCTTTGCACACTTCCTCCGCCTTCATGTCGCAGGGCAGGACATCAGAACTATTTTCTGAATGGACTAGTACGGGGTCCAAGGCAGATGGCCGCTCAGAAGAGGACTCAATTTGTTCCTTAATGTGTGGGTGTTCAGAAAGGAGACTTTAAAGGAGACCACCACGGCTCCATGTGTGTGTGTGACAAGCTCCATGGCTGCAGGGTGGCACCAGTCACAGCCACTCTGGGTGACCTGGGGTCCCTGTAGGCCTGGTGCCTGTGCAGTGCACTCACCTGTAGGGCGGCGCCCTGGAGTCCACGCCCGCAATGCCCAGTGGAGGCAAATGTGGAGACAGGACACACACGCGCTGAGGGAAAGGGTCGGGTGTCGTGGGAGTGTCAACCAGATGCTGCAGCCCTGCCTCCCAGACCTCTCAGCTTTCTGCTCCCCCTCCTCCCATAATGCCCCTCTTCCCCCTTCCCTCTCCTTTCCATTCCGAGAGTCTGCTCAGTGGTGGTGGGGCAGCCCAGAGTGCAGTGTCACCCTATCTGGGTTCCAGCATGTGGGCATGCCTGCTGGACCCCAGGCCTTCATCCCAGAACCACCTGTGCCCAGACCCACTCGGATGGAACCGCCCTGTGCTGGGTTCCTCATCCTTTTCCTTCAAGGAGGACCGGTTGACTCTCTGAGGAAACTGCAACAAGGCCCCATTTTCTGAAAAAAAAATCATTAAGAGACTCTGATGCCATTGCAAAAACTAAGATGACATCAATACTCACCTTTTCAGAACAGTTCTGATTAAATAATTTAGCCTGTGTGGCAACCTGCTGGCAATTAGAACCTAAGGCTTCGTAGCTCAGGAACAGATCCTAAATTTAGCTTGCCTGAGACCCAGAGGGCCACTAAGAGCGCAGAAAAGAAGACTCCTAAGCCCCCACATCTATCATTTGAGCCCACAAATACTTTCCTACTTCAAGTTCACGTGTGCATTTGAAAGTGTTGTGTTGGGGAAAGGGAGCCTTGATGGAATAAGGGGACTATTTGGAAGACTTGGGGTTCTCGCTTTTTTAAAAAAAAAACAAAAACTGCTGGGGCGAATCAGAATTTCCCCTGGGGCGGAGCAAGCACACGGGGAGATAGTCCGTAGCCAAGGATGACAAGCGTCAGTGCTTCGTACAACTAGATTTAATAAGTTGTTATTACAGAAAAAAAAGTCCAAACTACAAAGTTAAGCAGTTAAGCGACAGCTGCATTTGAGTTCCACGCTCAGTCACAGTAGCGAACCCGTACAAGCAGTATTAATCCAAGCCCTAGGGCAGAGGAAGGGTTACCAGCGCAAACAATCCAAGAGAACAGGTAAGAAAGATACAGTACAGTTCAAATTAGTTGTTAGTTGAAAAACAAATACAGAGATCCTAGCTGTGAACATTCTAAAAGTCATGTCCATCATTTTGACAGCAAAAATACAAACGCCTAACACTTTGTACCCCAACAGCACTATGTCCAGGAGCAGGCTCCCCGTGTTAGCACCCAAGCTCTCCACTGGACCCAGTGAGCTACTATGATCACACAAAGTCAAATCCCTGGCCTCACGGTTCCCTCTTGACCCACTGTGGGGTATTCAGTCAACAGCGTCGCTATAAAATACTCCGTGGTGGGAATGGAACACTGTGGCAGCTGAGTTGACGAGTTTGGTTATTAGAAAAGAAAAAAAGGATGTAGCGGACACGCTAGGCTAGTGACGGAGAGGGGAGCAGCACAAAGAAGCCGGCTTTAACAAAAAGACACTTGGTTTGTTCACTACTCTGTGACTAACCTTTCATTCAAACCTTGCAAGCTGAGATGTCACGATACTCAAATATTTAGGTAGGAGCTCTACCCGGTTAAATGCCACTTTGTTGCTAATAGAAGAGCTAAAATGAAAACTAGCGGCTGTGTGCTAATCGCATAAATGCAGTCCACTGCATCAGCCCATGCCTCACTAACAAGCTATAAAACACAAGATATAGGCAGAAATCTAAGCATAATCTTTATACCACTAAACAAGAATTTTCCCAGTTTCTTCTGTTCCTAATCATTTATTTGTAGTTAATGTAAAATTCCAACCAACAGGACCCAATTTGAGTTAAAATTTTACATCACAACTTGATCTAATCTATATATTATTTACAAAACTGAATACATAGAGCGAACCCAAGAGCCAGCTCTGGACACATGCGGACCCCAGTTATTGATTAACCTCCTCTCCAACGCGACTAGAAGAGGCCACCAACAACTAGCAGAAATGCACCTTCCATCTAGAGCAAGTCCCTGGATGTTCTGTTTACACAACACCAGCTAGGGAACTGAGGCGTCTCTGCGGGAACTGCAGATGCCTTTGCCACAGCTGCTTTCACAGTGCACTTCAGGGGCTGGGGGTGGGTGGGGCTATGGGTGGGGCTGGGTTGGGGCTAGGGGTGGGGTTGGGGGCTGGAGAAGCAGCAGCAGGAAGGCAGACAGAACATGCAGAGTGGCCCAGTGTCACCACGAGAAAAGTTAAACAAGGGGTGCTAGGACAGGGAGCAGACGAGAAGGGAGGAAGATGAAGCAAACACATGTACAGTGGTGACATGCAGTGCGCATCCCCAGGGCCTGCCGCCAGCCCTTCCAGGGACACGCCAGGTGAGGCATTCAGGTCATGCAACATACAAGGCGGTGTCTTCTCTCACTGGTCACCACTGCGCATGCATGTAAAAATCTGGGAGGGAAAGGCACCAGCTCACACATGGACAGCAGTTGGTGGCAGGCAGACCACACACACACACACACACACACGCACACACACACGGTGCGCATGATGAGGAGTTTTAGGAAAGCACTGAGCACTGCTGGCCGAGCGTGGCTTCACACTCCATGCTATTTCAGGAGGGTGATTTCATTATCGGGTCACAGATTCTGCTGCATCTGGTGTTGTATAAACCCATGGTGACATCCTCAGAGACCTGTACTGTGACATCCCTAGTCTCACACTAAACCACTGCAATAAAGGAAAAGGCTTGTCAGGATCCCGCACGTTCGGCTCATTCCGTCATTTTATTACCCAGTTGTCCAGTCCCAGTCGCTTTACAGAACCAACTGTTTCCGTCGTTGCACTACTGTAAACCACATCAGCAAGTTAATACATAAAGCTTTGCATTTCAAAAAACTAGACACTTTAGTAACAATATTACAAAGGTTTTAGCTTCAAAAATAACTGAAAATGAAAAAAATAAACTTTTAAAGAATTAGCATCATAAAATTAATTTATTCCAAGTAAAAATACAAAATAATATTATGACGTTGACCAGATATGAAAGTCCCTCCCAGAAACAACTCTAGTAATGATTGAGAAAGCACTCCTTAAAGAAAATACGAAATAAAATGAAAAATATGTAAATATGTTTAATTTTTTTCTTAGCAAAAAATCTTTCTAAAAATAACAATGAAAATTTGTCTCAGTACAAAGGCTACGTCACTATTGAAAAAATACCAGCATGAGGAAGAGGTACGCGCTTGACAGTAGAAAATGAGTGTCCTGTGAGTCACAATGTCTAAAGTCTGCAATGAAAATAAATCTGCAATAAAGATTTATGCCTTTTTTCTTTTCTTTTTTTTCTATTTTTTATACAAACAGTACAAACAGTATTGCACGTAACAACAAAGAATCGAGGTTAGTACAGCCTTCAAAAGTCCACCAGTTCAAGTGTCCCAGCAAGGAAGGCCACGGAGGGCCTGTGTTACCAGGGGCTTCCCAGTCAAGTTGCAGGGCAGAACACCTCTGTGTTTTAAAAAATAATTTTTTTGAAGGACCTTCTCTTTTAATATAACATTAAGAACTTGGGGGGGGCACATTTATTTACAAAAACAAAAGGGAACATGTTATAATTTAATAAACTAAAAAAGTTCTCTTTAAAAAAATACAAACAGAAGAACTCTTTCACAATCCTGGTCAGCCGCACAATCAACACTTGATATAAATATACAAATCAAGGGAAAGTAGTTCCGTCACCTAAGTCACAACTCCCAGCAATGATGGAGTCTCTCTCACAGCCTGGTCTCCCTCCGCACTAGTTCACGCTGCCCAGTCTCCCAGCTTCTCTAGAGCTCAGGGTTGTTATAGAACATGAAAGAGGGGAGCTTCTTCCAAACATTTGCATCTTTCACATAATTAGGTAGATTTCTGTAGGTTAGATATGATCTTTAATATTATAGTTATAAAGCTCTAACTTCTTCATTTTCAAAAAACACAAATAAGCATGAAAAAAATAAAGTTACCCATCTGTTAAATCATTTTCTTGCAGAATTAAATTAATATATATTTTCTGAATAAACTTACTTAGAAAATATCATTTTCTTTCCTATATTTCAAAATTGAGGTATTGCAAAAGATCAGGTCAGTCAGAAAGCATGCCTTTTCCTTAAAAACAAACAAACAAAAATCATCAGCCAACTCTTGAAAACGTTCTAGAATATAAAAGTAGTAGTGCATAACAAAATTTCCCATACAGATGAAAAAAAGGAAAACACAAACATAGAAAAAAAGGAACAAAACAAAACGAAACCACATCTGGGCTGCAGAAAAGCAATTATTACCAAAAGGCCCAGAGAAAACCCCAAGGGGGAGGGTTCTAATAGGCATCTTTTAATTCAGTAAAAAACTATTTTTTTTCTCCTCTTTTTGAAAACAAACTGTAGCTGGAGAGCCAGTATTCACAACTCAACACTGGAGAAACAAAAAACAAACTACAACAAAAACCAGGCAACACTAACTTTAAGACAGTACAGGAAATCACAGCACAAAAAACAGTGACTTAGATCTACTCTGCAGTGTGACATCCAGTCAGATTGTCCCCAGAATTCAGAACAAATAAAGAAGGGATTAAAAGCTTTACAGTCTTGCAATCACCGTGTGTGTTTCTATTCCTCTCTGCAGCCCAGGAGTGAATACTAAAACAATGTCCAGCAGGCTTTCCAGGTGAATCCAGGGACCTGAAGTTTGTGACTCACACCGAAGGCCGCGACTGCTCAGCCCATCTCACTCAGACGTTGCTTTAGCATCACCCTTACGTGGCTTTTTAAAGATGTGTGCCGCAGTGTCAACCTGACAGCTTATTTCTAGATTCTGTACATTCTTAGTGTTTTAGAGCAAAGACGAGCTCTTTGGCTTTCTGGACAAGATCTGAAGCTGTGTAAAGTGGGGTGAGCATTACGAGGGCGTAACCCAGAGCTCAGGAGTTAACAATGTACCAGCTATGAATGGTCACGTCCACTAATGTCTGACACAGAGGCTTTCAACAGTGACATTTGATCACAGTTAGACATAATCACTTTACTATATAAAATAAATTGCACAAGATATAACAGCACCGCAGCACTTCATCTACCACCCACAGGTTTGCTGTAAGAGTATCCTACACCTAGGTGTTCTATTGGTGAGTAATGGTCGTCCTGTTATGGGCTCTTCCTGTCCACGGACATTCCACCCATTGAGGCATGCCTTCCTCCCACCGATTACCAATTCTTTTGAATGAAAAAAATGTTTAAAAAATGAGTATTTTATAGCTTATATAGATTCTTAATTTGTGCATTGTGGGAAGGTTTTATACTAGACATTGGATATAAAATTTATTGCATGCAGCAACCGCATTAAGTAAACATGCAGTCAGGAACGGCGGCCTCCGCTGGCTCTCTCTGGTCTCTTCTGATCTCCTCCAGCAGCTTGCTCTATCCCTAAACCATGAAAGTGTGTTGTTGGGTTCTCGTTTTTGTTTTTAATTGATACCTTAGCCTGAATAGAGTATTATGGTATCAACAATATCATTTTAATAGCAGCAAAAGCTATTGCAGCATAAATTTACATAACACTAAAACATCTAACCCAAATCCTCAGCAAAACAAAAATCAAACATGAAGGAAAATGAAAGATCCAGCTTGTGAGGTATCCGTACATGTCAGAGTACAGAGCAACTACAGGCTTATTTTCATGAAGGGCTAGCCTTACTCTACGTGACCCCCACTACTGATTGCTGATTGTAAAGTGTTTGCTACGTCGGCCTCTACTTACACGTGGGACCTTTGGTAAGTCTTGTCCTAGGGGCGACTCTCTAAATCTCTGAAAATAAGTGCATGCTCCAGTTCAAAACCAGTCAGAGCAACGACACAACATCAAACAAAGAGTCACAGATGTCAACCTGACGGCCGCTGATGAGAATGGCAGTCTACGTACTGTGGAGGTGACAGATCAGGTGTAAGAAATCAAGGTACCAAGCAGACAAGTTGTGAGTCAAAGTGCAAATGGGTACCGTTACACACTCTGCGATTCTGCATTATACTGGACGCTGAGTTCAGTAATATGGACTGTAAATGATAATAATAATAAAAAGACCCATTTCTTCTTTAAAAATCGAGAACGAATGCACAGATTTCCAGAACACCGTGAGCCCTGAGGCAGTGCCCTCTCTTCCTCCTTGTGATCCTACTCCAGTACTTGTAGCTGGGTCTGCCTGGCGCTCAGCTCCAGCGGAACGGGACGTGCCGAGGGCGGTCGCCTCCCTCCTTCACCAGCGGTTTGTGGAACTCGCGGCCGGCTCGGGAGTGGATGCTAGCCCAGCAGTATTCACAGTAGTACTGCAGACAGGTGACGTTGGCACAGAAGAATGGGGCAAACTTCCCACCGCAGCGCGTGCCCTGGCACTCGTCACACATCTGGTCGTCCAGCACATACGGTTTCACTTCCACCTGGACCGGAGAGGAGACAGGAGACAGGGCTCAGCAAAGGCTTCCTTAACCCGGCTGCAAAGCCGCAGCTGTGTGGGGTCTGCTCGGTTCTTCACCTCTCTGTGTGCTCTCCCGGCCCCCTGATCTGTAGGGGCACAACCCCACACAGAGCTGTGCAGCCATAACTCCTGAGGACGGAAAGAGCTCGGTGCAGGACAAACAACAGCCCAGGGAAAGGGATGCTTCAGAAAAGCCTACAAGCCTAAGAAGGTAGGCCTGCACCAGGCCTGCCAGGGAGACCGTAGGCTCAAGGGAGGTTTGGGGCTTCTGTTGTGATGAAAGGCTTTTCAAACTGTCCCAGGGATATCCTGGACCCCAGGAACTGCAGGGGTATGAGGGGGGGCAGGAAACATGCTGGGTTTTACTCATTTGAACAGGCCTTATCACCCTATTCTCTGCATCACTAGAAGCTGGAACAGAGGGTGTTCTACCACAGCTCTTCAGGAAGCATTTAATAGACCAAGTGAAACCAAGCTACATGACGTGAAGCCCTTTCAAAGCCAGAGAAAACATATGCTTGTCCGTGTTTCTCTTTCCCAGAGCCTAGAAAAAAAACTGGATTGTGAATTTCTTTGTTTTGAACACCAGGAATAAGCGCAAAGATGGGAAGTCTGACTGTGTCTCTCCGACACCTGAGCCATGCTGGGGAGAGCAACCCTGTGGTTGGAGCATGGCCCCTGCAAGATGGGCCAACTGTCTGACCCCAGAGCCTCTAACAGGGCACAAGCCAGGGCACAAGCTATTCCAAGGGGGTGGCAGGTGGAAAGCGGGGGAGGGGGCCACGGAGGCTACAGTCTAACTTCCCACTGTGAGCTCCTGTCCACAGGTCTATCTGCTGGCCAGATATTTCCACCTGGAAGGCCCTATGAGAAGACTCACACTCTGGGTCACCCAAGGAGAAATGTCTTTACTGCTCCTCCCTCCACCCCATTAAGCTGAGGATTAAACAAGTAGAATTCAAAAAAAAATCCCTTCTATTAATCTCTGCATCATGAATTATCATGGCTCTGCAATCAAAACTGTATGGGCTCACAGCAGGCCACAGAAACCTGTTCCCCTCATCTGCACACCAGAAGGAAACCATGTTAAGATCGTTAAGATTCCCTGAGAGCGGGTGAAGTCAGCAAGCTGCCGTTCCTATGACTTCCTGAGGCCAGGCATGAAACTCTGTGCGTGAATGTGCACCAGTGCCGACTGTCTTCCCTGGCTTAGTGTCCCACGTACAAGTGCCAGTTCAGTACCCAGAGGTCCTTTCTTGGTCAGAAGGTTCTGTTCTGCCTACATGGCTAAGTTCAGCTGCCTCAGTAAAGCAGCTGCTTCCTGTCTCCAATGGCTCCAATTCAAGCCAGTCTGCCATTCACCCGGACTCCCCCCTCCCCAGCGATTTCCCAATGCAGACTCTGATTGCTCAAGCTTCCCCCGTCCCCATCTCCTTTTTCTGACATACAGTCTCACTTACATAATTCAGGATGACTTCACACTCAAGACTCCGCTATCTCAACCTCTTCCCACGTTGGTCTCTACTGAACAGCTACTTCCCAGCTTAGAAGCCTTCTTACGCCTGCTCTCAGCACACCTCATGACATCCAGCCCTGGCTGTCCTGGAACTCACTCTATAGCCCAGGCTGGCCTCAAACTCACAGAGATCCGCCTGCCTCTACCTTCCAAGTGCTGGGATTAAAGGCGTGTGCCACCACCGCCCAACCAACATCCAGTCATTCTTTTCGCTTTCTTGCATGAAATCAGCAGTGTGTGTGTGTGTGTGTGTGTGTGTGTGTGTGATGTTATACACTTGTGTGTGCCGGTGCACGTGCCTATGAGTATACAAGAAAGCTAGAGGACAGGGTGGGTGTCCTGAGCTCCACAAGCAGTCAGCAAGCTTGGTGAATGGCTTGCTCTCCCCCGTCCACCGCAGTGCAGGATTACAGGCCTGTTTGTGCTGGATCTGAACTCAGGTCCTCATGCTTGCACCAAATACTTTACTTACTGAGCCAACTCCCCAAGTCAACCATTTCTTATCTTTTTTTTTTTTTTTAATGTGGCAACTTGAATGAGAATGACCCCCAGGAGCTCATGTTTGTATGGTTAGTCCCCATTTGATGAACTATTTTGGAAGGACTGGGAGGTGTGTCCTTGTGAGGAGGTAAAGGAGGCATGTCATTGGGTTTCATTAGGTAGCTCTGACTGGCCCAGAACTTGTTATGTAGATCAGGTTGGCCTCAAACTCACAGAGAACCTCCAGCCTCAGGATGCTGGGAGTAAAGGTGTGAGCCACCATGTCCGGCCAAATCAACAATTTAAAAGTGAATGATTGACTCAATGCATTCACACTGTGTGCAGACCTAAGGTTACAAAACGCTTCTGACACCTCAACAGGAAGTCCTGGATCCACTAGTTACCTGCTTATCCATCCCTGGGACCAGTCTATATTCCTTCTCTACACTAACTATTCTGGGTATTCCACACAGTGAATCACATACTAAGAGATCTACTCCATCTGGCTTCTTTGACCTTCATGAGGTCTTGAGGGTCACCCATGCTGCATGCCCAGCGCCTTGGGCTCTATCCCAGCACCACATCATCTACACTGTAGCCTGGAGGATCACTTATTTATTTCCCCTACGTCTCGTTCACGGGTAAGTTGATGACACTGGTCATTTCCACAGTCTGCTGTGACTGGCACTCTTGACATGTTCACTTCTGGGGGCAGATGTTTCTAGTTTTCAGGGTAGATACTTGGGGATGAACTTAGACAACAATTTGATTTTAATGTAGAAAGATTTACTTCTGTGTTATTTACAGGTGTCTATGTAAGTGTACATGTGTGCACAGGTGTATGTGTGGAAACCTCTAGGTGAACCTGGCAGCCAGCAAGTTCCAGACATCCTCCTGCTTCAGCCCTTTTGAGCTGGAATTACAGGCATTTTTTGGGGAAGCCTATCACATAGGTTCTGAATTCAAGCTCTGCTCCTCAAGGCTGTAGAACGCGTGCTCTGAACTGCTGCTGAGCTCCTCCAGTCATTCAGTGCTTCAGTTTCTGAGGAGCTAACAAGATCTTTTCCACAGCAGCTATAAACCATTTTGCACTCCAACCCACAAAGTAGCAGAGCACTAGCCTCTGTGTGCCATTTGTGGAGTTATAACCATCCTGGTGGGAGGATGTGGCCCCACCATGGGTAAGATTGGCATCTACTTAATAGCCAAGATATTTAGCTTCTTTTCACCTGCATATTGTCGTCCAGTTTCTTGTTTCTTAAGATACGATTTAATATGTGGCTTTGACCTCATGACCCAACCATCTCAGGGTTCTTAGGGCTGTGAATAACAGGCATGCACCACCACCCAGGTGTGGCCATGGATATGTCCTCTATGGAGAAAGGCCTATTCAAATCTGCTCAGTTGAAGTGAGCTGTCTTTATTTTGTTAAGTTGAAGAATTCCTCAAATATTCCGGATTCAGCCTCCATGATCTAGAATGGACAGCATCTTTTCAACCATGTAAGTTGCCTTTTCACTTTTTGGAAAATGTCCTTTGGCACAGAAAAGTCACGAGTGTGCTGCACATCCGAAAAGGCCCTACAGCTGCCAAACTGGCTTCTAGCTGGACTCTGTGCCAGCTCTCTTTGTGAGGGATCTGCAGGATCAAGTTAGATCTTTGCAAAAGCCACCACAAAGACCCTCACACCAGCCACAACTGGTGCCTTCTTCTCGGCTATAGTAGTGCCCCCTTGGTCTAAATTTCCAGAGGACCAGCATTTCTCCCTCTTGATGCTAAGACACCTGACTTTTGATCTTTAAAAAGTAAACATTGTGCTGTGCCAGGTATGGTCATACGTGTGCCCAGAACCCCAGCATTTAGAAGATGGCGGCAGAAGATCCGGGATTTGAGGTCATTCTGAGCTACAAAAGTCCCTGTCTCAAAACAAACACACACGCACTTCTTGTTAGAATGAAGTATGCCTTCTGTGCCCTCGCAATCAGGAGACATGAAGCCCCTGACAATACAGCACAACACAGTCTTCACATTCTGTCCTGGAACTCGCTCTGTAGACCAGGCTGGACTCGAACTCATAGAGATCCACCTGCCTCTGCCTCCCAAGTGCTGGGATTAAAGGTGTGCGCCACCACCGCCCAGTCCAACTGCCCTTTTAAGTTTGTGAATTCTTGCCATTTTAATTTTTACTTAATTAACGCCAGTCAATAGTCTAAATAGAGCATCTGTTCACAAATAAACACAACTTTTGGACAACACTGAGCTCTGAAAGGCTTTCCTGAAGATGTCTCCTGACCTCCTTCCATTTGGGTAAGCAGAGCTGCCTGCCAAGCGTCTCTGGGCACCTGTATGAAGGTGCTGATCTGAAGAGCAAAGGCTTGCATGAAGAGAGACCCTTCACGAAGGACACTGCTGTCTAGGTTGTCCCATGTTACTGCAGAAGGGTGGCTATTTTGTTCAAAGTGGATTTACCTATGTGACTAATGTTTCTAGGTTCAGTGAGCATCACTGAACATGGAGGGTAAGACACCACTCTTCCCTACAATCATGCTGCTCTAAAATCGCTTCTGAGGCTAGACCGGTGGCTCAGTTGGTAAAATGAGTGCCACACTGAGGGGCTGAGTGTGATTCCCAGCACCCAGGTAAGAACCAAGCAGTGGTCATTTCAACATGGAAGAAGGGACAGAGGCTTCCTAAGGCTTTGCTGCCTGTTAATCTGGCCAATTAGCGAGGTACAGGTTTAATGAGACACTCTGTCCAAAAAAAACAAGGTGAAGAGTAACTAACATTCCAAAACCAACCTCTGACCTTCACACACACACACACACACACACACACACACACACACACACACGAACATGTATACCCAAACAGGATAAAAATTATTTTTTTCTTTTCAAAAAATTGAATTACTAACATAAACGTTTCCTAAAGGCATTCTCAAACTCTCTGTAGTTTCTGTCTTATCC